GGTATGCTGCACTCAGAAGATCTTTCCGAAATGTCCAGGAAGGATTGAATAGAGGTGCAACAAAATACGTAAAGATTACTGTTGGGGCAAATGATTTTAACATTCTGACTGTATATTGAGATAAAGATCATATAAAAAAGGTATAATACTATAAAAAAGTATATTATTTTATCCTTATTTTTTCATATGATCTTTATCTCAATTTACAGTCAGAATTTCAAACACCTTTGGATGGGAGCTATGTAAAAAATAATAAACAAGGAGAAAATTGTTTCATGTTTCTGTGTCATTTACTAAAACTTGTTCATAAATGGAAAAAAATAAAAAATAAGGAGAAAAAACAAGTATTTTACAGAAAATTAAAAAACCTTCATTATTTGTTTAAAACCCTCAGATGCCAGGATTTTGCATCTAGCTTTTAAAAAATTTCGGGGGAGGACCCCCGTACCCCCCTCTTATTCAGGAGGGGGGTACCCCCTCCCGAACCCACCCCCCACTCCTCGCTACGCTCGACCGGGGCGCATGGCGCCCCAGATCTGAGAATATTATTCAGGTCCACCAGAAATTAACCAGGTCCACCAGATCAAGAGAGCAGGTGGACCTGCGGTCCACCACCTATTAAAAGTTAGTGTCAACCCCTGGCATCGTCGTTGCCATATATTATTATATATGTACATGCACACTTGTCTGTACTTATTATCAGAAAAACACTACTTAGGACCATTCCCTTATCAGGCTGTTGCATTTGTTGGGAAGATATTCCAGAAAGTATTATCAATTCTAAAAAAAAATGTAAAATGTGAAGTGGTATTAAGTTTATGGAAATAATCTGTATCAATTTAAAAATGGTATGTATTGATATGATTGTTTTCATTGGGTTTGTATTTTGTTGGATGCAAAACATCCATGAGACGTTTCCTTGCAATTTTTCAGCAGCAAGAGGGCTACTACCCTGGAAATATGGCCTACGGAGGCGGTGCACCACCCATGCCACCCCCAGAACTGGAGGTGACATACCTATACGTCCCAGAGAACACTGTCGGGTCAATAATCGGTAGCAAGGGTGCCAATATCAAGGATATCAGCAAGTCTACAGGAGCAAGAGTCAAGGTATATTGATAAATAGATGGCCAGTTTGGGAATTCAAATGCAGGTTTAGAGACAAAATAGTAGATTTCAGCAAGGACTAGTGAATCAGTTAATCTAACTAGTCTTTTGGGTTTGTAAAAATTACATAAAAACAGTATTGTTTGACTGATGAATAGGAATATTCCTTTGGAAAAATTATTTAAAATACAGATACATTGCATGTTGATACTCTCCAAACTTTCCTGGGACATCAACATAGGTATATTGCAGGAGAGTGTCCCTGCTTTTGCTATAACTTTTCCTATTTAACACTATTAATTAATATTAACTAAAATGAAATAAATACTGTGTCTATAAAACCTGAGTGCTGGCCTCGTAGCCCCCCATCCAGGATATGAAGGACATTTTGATTGTGGCAAAATAGAAAACCAAACATAAAGTTCCTATAAAATAATTTCAAAATTATCGTGCCGTGATCAACAGCCATTTAGACTTTACTATTTCGATTCAGTTTAAAAGGTATTAATTTGGAGTAAGAGTTCAGTTAAGAAAATCAGTAATTTTACCCAATTTTAACCCAGTTTACCTAACCAAGCTAGGAGGAGGCCAATTATGAAGTGTCCGTGTAGAATGACTACTAAAAATGTTTTAACTCTTGTCTCATGATATCGTTTAGATTATCCAGCCGAGCTCAAAGGAGCCCAATGGTGAGAGGAATGGGCAAAATATCCAAGAGAGGCGTTGTATCGTCACAGGATCTCCGGAAGCCCAGTTTCAGGTAGGAAATGTGGCATGCTAGCAAACCAAAGCTGAAGAGAGATGAGGACTCTGCCAGAATTTATAGTTTGGAAATAAGACCCATCTATAATGTATAATGGTAGACTAAAACTAAACAGGAAAAAATCATATGGCAATTGATAATTTAAATTAACTTGTTACATTTTATATAACTGGTGATTTGTTTGTTGAATGGTGATTGGAAATAGTGAACAGTTCCCTGTGGTGACATTAATAATACCGCCCCAGTCTGAAGCCACATGTTTGAAATCACCGTTAAAAGTAATACCTTTGGACTGGACTAATGGGGGAAATTAAAAAATAAAATCTAGTCTGTCTAGTATCATTTGTCAAAATCTACCTTCCGGCCAGTTGTACTCTAAACATGAAATTGAACACCTCAGTTTTCCACCCATCTGTTTCCTTTGTAATGAACCATTGGCATACTTAGTGAATTAGGAAATTAATATTTCTGTATACAAACTGAAATACGAAAACTTAACCAGAGATTAAAACCCCGACCTTGGGCCTTGTGTCAAATTTATGATATAGTTTACCTGTTTGCAAAAAGTATATTATTAACATTTAAAATTCTTACTAAAAGAAAGCATCTAGAACAATACAACATGTCAGTTATTGCTGTTTAGCTAGAAGTAAATTACATTAATCCGATACTAAATAATAGTGGTATATGATGATTGGAACATTGGAACAGTTTTAACTGTGTTGACAGTACAACTACCGCCCCAGTCTGAAGCCACGGGTTCAAAATCATCATTTAAATGAGAAATTCCTCTGGACTGGACTAATGGAAAAATTTCAGTTTTAATCAAATACAAGTTTCACTTGTTCAAATCTACTTTTGAGCTAGTAGTACTTTAAATATGAAATTGAACACCCCAGTTTTCCACCCTTCCATTTCCTTTGTAACGAATCATTGGCATACTGAGTGAATTGGGAAATTAATAATTCTGTATACAAACTAAAACACGAATGCTTAACCAGAGATTAAAACCCTGACCTTGTGTCAAATTTATGATATAGTTGACTTGTTTGCAAAAATTTATTATCAACTTTAAAAATTCCTATAATTAGAAAGTATCTGGAACTATACAACGTGTCAGTTATTACTGAAAAGCCAGAAGTTAATATACTTAATAATGATGGTATATGATGATTGGAACCTTGGAACAGTTTAACTGTGTTGACAGTACAATTACCGCCCCAGTCTGAAGCCACGGGTTCAAAATCATCGTAAAAAGGAAATTTGGACCCATGGAAAATTTCCAGTAATAAGAAAATATAAGTCTGTCTAGTATCAATTGTCCAAATCTACCTTTCGGCCAGTTGTACATGTACTCTCAATATGAAATCGAACACCCCAGTTTTCCACTCATCCATTTCCTTTGTAACGAATCATTGGCATACTTGGTGAATTAGGAAATTAATAATTCAGTACACAAACTGAAATACGAAAGCTTAACCAGAGATTAAAACCCCGCCCTTGGGCCTTGTGTCAAATTTATGATATAGTTGACCTGTTTGCAAAAAGTATATTATTAACATTTAAAATTCTTACTAAAAGAAAGCATCTAGATCAATACAACATGTCAGTTATTGCTGTTTAGCTAGAAATAAATTACATTAATCCGATACTAAATAATAGTGGTATATGATGATTGGAACATTGGAACAGTTTAACTGTGGTGACAGTACAACTACCGCCCCAGTCTGAAGCCTGATGTTCAAAATCATCATTTAAATGAGAAATTCCTCTGGACTGGACTAATGGGAAGTTTTCAGTTTTAACTAAATATAAGTTTCATTTGTTCAAATCTACTTTTGAGCTAGTAGTACTTTAAATATGAAATTGAACACCCCAGTTTTCCACCCTTCCATTTCCTTTGTAACGAATCATTGGCATACTGAGTGAATTGGGAAATTAATAATTCTGTATACAAACTAAAACACGAATGCTTACCAGAGATTTCAACCCCGACCTTGTGCCTTGTGTCAAATTTATGATATAGTTGATTTGTTTGCAAAAATTATATTAACATTTAAAAATTCCTATTAAAAGAAAGTTAAAAGAAAGTTTCTGGAACAATACAACATGTCAATTATTACTGATTAGCCAGAAGTTAATATACTTAATAATAGTGGTATATGATGATTGGAACCTTGGAACAGTTTAACTGTGTTGACAGTACAATTACCGCCCCAGTCTGAAGCCACGGGTTCAAAATCATCGTAAAAAGGAAATTTGGACCCATGGAAAATTTCCAGTAATAAGAAAATATAAGTCTGTCTAGTATCAATTGTCCAAATCTACCTTTCGGCCAGTAGTACATGTACTCTCAATATGAAATTGAACACCCCAGTTTTCCACCCATCCATTTCCTTTGCAACGAATCATTGGCATACTTGGTGAATTAGGAAATTAATAATTCAGTACACAAACTGAAATACGAAAGCTTAACCAGAGGCAGAGATTTCAACCCCTGACCTCGGGCCTTGTGTCAAATTTATGATATAGTTGACTTGTTTGCAAAAAGTATATTTTTAACATTTAAAATTCTTACTAAAAGAAAGCATCTGGAACAATACAACATGTCAGTTATTGCTGTTTAGCTAGAAGTAAATTACATTAATCCGATACTAAATAATAGTGGTATATGATGATTGGAACCTTGGAACAGTTTTAACTGTGTTGACAGTTCAACTACCGCCCCAGTCTGAAGCCACGGGTTCAAAATCATCGTTAAAAAGGAATTTGGACCTTTGGAAAATTTCCAGTAATAAGAAAATATAAGTCTGTCTAGTTTCATTTGTTCAAATCTACCTTTGGGCTAGTAGAACTCTAAATATGAAATTGAACACCCCAGTTTTCCACCCATCTGTTTCCTTAAATATGAAAGCTTAACAGAAGATTTAGATTCCCAACTCAGGCTTTGTGTCAAATTTATGATGCTGGTGTCTTGTTAGCATGTGTTGATACTGTTAACTTTAAAAATTCCTATATAAAGTGGTATATGATGATTGGAACATTGGAACAGTTTTAACTGTGTTGACCGTACAACTACCGCCCCAGTCTGAAGCCACATGTTCAAAATCATCATTTAAAGTGAAATTTCTCTGGACTTGACTAATGGATAGTTTTCAGTTTTAATCAAATTTAAGTTTCATTTGTTCAAATCTAATTTTGAGCTAGTAGTACTCTTTAATATGAAATTGAACACCCCAGTTTCCACCCATCCATTTCCTTTGTAACGAATCATTGGCATACTTGATGAATAGGGAAATTTGTAATTCTGTACATGAACTGAAATATGAAAAATTAAAATAAGATATTTTAACTTCTACCTCGACCTTGTGTCAAATTTATGATGTTTGTGACTTGTTCGCAAAAGTGATGTTAATAATTAAAATTAATATTAAAAGAAAAAATAATCTAGAACAGTAAGAAATGTCAATTATTGCTGATAAGCCAGAAGTAAATATATTATTGATCTGATACTACATAATAGTGGTATATGATGATTGGAACCTTGGAACAGTTTAACTGTGTTGACAGTACAATTACCGCCCCAGTCTGAAGCCACATATTTCATGGCCGAATTGATGGATTAAGTATAGGTTTCCAGTAAAAAAATTAAGGTTAATTTGGGGCCTTGTATGTGCGAGATATTTTCCCAAATCAACGGGCACAGACCCATGTGGAAAGAAAGTAGAGAAATTGCTGGTTTCTTTTTTGCAAGATCCCATGATGTTGAAACAAGATATCACCATATATATGTACAAGCATTTTAAGACACTCTAAATTGAGTTGTATTTAGATGAAAAAATATATTCTGTTGACACTAGAAATCAGTACTATATATATATTATAGTTCTTTGCAATAAGCATAACTTTATTTCAAGTGTGTGGTTATCCTGTGAAATAGATTGCAGTGGAAAATAATGAATGAACCATTACCCATGTGATAAAATAAAAGATTCTTTAAACAAAGCTTGGATGAGAATATTGGGAGGCAGGGTTTTGGGAAGGGTATTACTAACACCCTCAAGATCAAAGTGGATGTAATCTTTTTGCAATGTCAAACTACACTTTTCTTCCATTATTGCTGATTAGTCTGAAATAAATATACTTTATAATAGTGGTATATGATGATTGGAACATTGGAACAGTTTAACTGTGGTGACAGTACAACTACCGCCCCAGTCTGAAGCCACATTCCAACTAATCCAATAATTATTACACAACATATTTGGAAAAAACAGGAGTTAGAGTTGACCATTTGATGACCGGGTTTTTCCAGAGTTTTCGAGGCAATTACCAACATCCACAATTTAACCCTTACGCTGCTACGCACCACAATAGTGGTTTCGAAAAGTCTGGCCGTCAGTGTTGTGCACGACACTAGTGGCGCTCTGTCTGTAGGGTTTTGATCAGTAAACAGGTTAATTAAAAGTTTCACCTTTTCTTACCTTTATTACCACCTGTTCAGGTAAATACTGAAGCAACTTTAGAATCGAAAATGTTAATATAAACTAGAGACAATAACGAACAATTTTCCTAAAACTTTTATTCACATATATATAACAAATATTGTTCAAGTTATGCACATTTGAAAAATTAAGGAAATTAATTTATATTTCAATAATAAATTCAGCAGTGGCATCCCTTTACATAGAAATCAATGTAGCAGCTTAAGGGTTAAATTTGATGCTAGCATATTGAAACATCAAGATAATCTTTTAAAGAAAGGAGGATGTCTGATATTCTACTTGATGTGAAGTACTTTAAGCAAAAAAGGAGGGACTAGAATCTTTTAAATTATGTTCTGCTAGAAGAATATGAAATTTTGTCTAAAAATCAAGATTTTGGTTTTGTCTTGATTGGGAGGGGACCCAAAACTGATCTGGAGTTTTATCTCGAAGTCTATTGTCAGGAAAATACCCAAACTATATTGTTCTTACTATATTTTTTGTTGTTGTAGGCACATTTTCAGATTTTCGACCGCATCAAGAAGGAGGGAGGCTTTTCAAGAATGGAGGACGTTCACCTGAGATCAGAAATCATGGTACCAAAGGGCATGATAGGACGTATAATTGGAAAGGGAGGTCAAAATGTAAGTTGATTCAAGATATTGCGAAGTGTCATGTAGAACATGGCTATATAATGTAAAGACGTTTCGGCTTTGAAAAATGCTATATTTTCAATAAAAACTTTGAGAAGCGTGCTCATAGAAATTTTACCACTTTAAAACTTAGGAAACTGCAGGTTTTGTCTATGGAAAGTTGCATTTTTCTCTGGCTAATACTGCCAAGCATGCAAAAGGAAAACTTGATCGACACGTTAGGCAGTCGAAAGTTTCAATAACTTCAGATTTAAATTTAATTTCCAATATTTGGACTTGTACCGATCTAAATGAGATGTACAATGCTGCTGTTGATGCTTCATCATTCAGCCACACTAGTTAAACTGTGTACTGTTTTGGTCACTGTCTGTGAGCTGCAGCAAGTAACTTAACCTGCCATTGGACTTTGTTCACAGGTCCGTGAGATACAGCGAGTAAGTGGTGCTATTGTTAACCTGCCAGAACTTAACAATCAAAATCCCTCGGAAGATGGTGAGGTGCCCGTCTCCATCATCGGCCATTTCCAAGCCATGCAGGCAGCCCAGCGACGTGTACGGCAGCTAGTATCCAACTCGTCAATTCCACCAAAACGCAGGCCTAGTCAGCGAGAGCAGAATGGCAAACAACAGATGTAAGCGGAGCTGCTCAGGAGTGAACTTTGACCCCAGACCATCGGGGTCGGGACAGGAAATGTGTAACACCAGAACAAGTTGGCTGCGAAATGATCAAATTCTTTCCTTACTTTTTATCTTGATCTTAAAAAAAAGTCCTTTAAGCTGCTCTCATTCTCTCCCAGTGTTTCATGTCAAATGTTTTGACATGGGTTACCCAAACGTCCTTTGTTATGTCAAAGGCATCAAAATAATTCACTGCATTCTATTAGATCTTTTCTTGCTCAGAAATGAGTGGGTATTTCGTGTGACCAACTTGGAGGTTTGCGGTAGGATGAGAGAGATATATTTATTATACCTAGTGTATTAAGTTGGAACAAATTTTAGACCATTGTTGATGTTTTCAAATATGCTATGGTCTTTTTTTGTAATAAAATTTATTTTTGATACTTGTTGAGGATTTTTTGTTAGAATTTTTATGACCTGTTTAATATGGGCATTTTTATTTGTCCGATTAATATTATTAAAGAGGAAAATAGAAAAAAAAATAACAAAAACTGAACCACTTTCAGCAATTAAGCCAATTCTAAATCAGGTCTCAAAAACGTTTTGCCCGCATATTGATTGTTCATTATATATTTTTAAGTGTCTGCTTGACTTCTTCGCTTCCAAATGTTTTATCGGAGAGCGCAATGTTTAGTTATATGTGATGAAGGTCACAGCAGCCTGGGCGTTGCATCTCTCCGTCTGTTGTTATATTGTTCTCAGTGCTATAAATACTCGTTGGGAGCGAGGCAGCCAGGCACACACTCTGGGAAAGTGGACAAAATGGAAATGGGCATTTCAGTATTAAGCTATAATGAACTTGCATGCTGCAAATATAGGTCCTCCTCAACTTGTAATTAAACATGTCGTAACCAATTTCTTTTTCCAATAGAGATTTTAAGTTATGATTTAAAAGGGCAGGGATAATAATACGGATACTATTGATATATTGCGAGTCCCCTCGTGTGGGGTATAAATTGAAGAGCAGGGGCAAGTAATGATCATTTCCCCCCCTCTGCAAGATATTTCCTCCAAGTAATTTCAACTTAATTCAAAAGATGGCAGTACCATTTTGATGCCTTTTCTTGAAAGGTTCAAATAGACAACATGCAAGCGAATTGCATCGTTAAAGGATACCTGTCATCACCTGGTCCTAATATCACGGGAGATAATGTGGACACTTGATAACTACATCTAGATATGGAAAGATTTAGCAAAAATTCATCCATTTTTTGTTTTTGTTTTTACCAACGTGTATGTATTGTCAAAACAATCATTTATAAATTGACATCTCGTGTAAAAACCGATCTATATATAATATACATTGAAGCATTTTGTATCTTATCAATTTTTTTTCCTTTTCGTTGTTGAATTAAATTCTTGCAAATGATATGTGCAGAAGGTGGTAAATTAATATTGAATGATGTTATATGTGTAACAGTTGGTGATTCAAATTTAGGTAAAAATATTTAAAAAACAAAAAAAAATTGAAATGACTGCAAAAAAAAATATTTGACATCCGTAAACTTTTTGTTTTCACAATTTTGTGTTTAAAATCTTCAAGAGTAAAGTCAATGTTTGAAGTTCACTGTTTTTACCATTTATGGTAGTTGGGTTATAAAATATTGTGCTAGTTTTCATTCAGAGTGAATTGTTGTCAATTATATAATACCTGTTTCATTTTAGTATGGATATTACACTATTGCAAAGAGCCAAGTCTTGGACCCTGTGTACTTATATAACCTTTTTTATGTACCCTTTTGTGACCACTCTCCAACCACTGATTCCCCCCCCCCACCCCTTTTATACATGTACCCGTATAGCAAGATGACTTCTTTTTTTTTTGGTCAAATCTTAAAAAAATTAAGCCAACCTGTTGATAAGTAGAACTGATATACAAAATGAACTATTCCACGAAATGCCCGTAATTTTTCGTACCATTGTGACTGCTATGGTGTGGCCAGTACGGATATATATAACCCATTTGCCTAGTTAGTCACAAACTGTGAGGTGCAGAAGTTGCGGGCATTTATAGAGCAGCATTCTAGCTTGGTGTTTCTATGATGAAGACGGCCACGCCAGACAGGGCACACAGTTCATGTCAACTACCTCATTACCCACGAGGATTGATTTGCATTACCATTTTACCACTTTAAATTGTATGTGTTTGTGATGTTCAAGACTTGGCTCGCCTCGCCAGCTTTGACCGGGCATTTCTTTGTTGATGACGTAATATGCAATGTAGACATTGTCAAATCATATAACCTTTTATGACTGTAGTTTCTGCTTAGTATGAAATATGGAAAATACCAATAGAAGTTGTTTTTTTTTGCGCCACTATACACGAATAATTATTGTCAAATGTATAGTTAAATTTTTGAGAACTTTTTTGAGTTGATCTGTTTTCATTATGCAGACTTTGGTACATAGAGAGCAGTATTGCATGTGATGTATCCAGTTTTCGGTTCTCACGTTTTTCTTTTCTCCTTTGCCGAGATGTTTTGTGTACATGATAAGATGTTAAATCTTCTTACCTTATAACAACATGACAGGGATGACTGTTGACCTCACAACAGAATTAACTTCACTATCTGCTAATCAATACTGATGCTAGGCAGGCCCGGTACGCATGTTCAGGTGCGTGCCGATGCAAGGAAAGGTATGACCAGCGCACTGTAGCAGACTGACTGACGGGGACAGACATAAACAAGTGGATCTAACACTGCTGTATCTGTTCTTGTCATTTTGCAATATAACTTCTGTTTGTCTCCCTTTTCTACCAGGAAGATTAAAAAGTATTCTAGTTTATTAATTGTTTTTGTGTGTTCATTTCACTGTACTTGCATGGTGTGTTCCACAGATTTTGATGAACCAAATTTATCATGAAAATATTGTTGCTATGAAAGATAGAAAAAAAAAATCTTTCTGCACATTCCTGTAATCCTAAAAGTACAGCAGTTTTGGTGTTGCATTGAGGGATTGACGCATATTTGTCGGTGTGACATACTTTGATACTGGCTACCTGTAAATAGTTTAAACATTCTACGTATACCATCTTTTCATACAAATGAATGTTGTACAAAAAGATATTGGTTCATCAATATAGTGGCTCATATAAAATGGAATTTTTCCCAGCGTTTGGACAAGTTTCCTTTAAAATGACTTGTTTGAAGTAGACACGTTGAACAGATCGACATGTGGTTTTCCATGTTAAAATCCAAGATACCTGTCTTGTTTAAAGTTGACCGTGCAAGAGCAGTGCTATACAACTCAGTAGAATGTCCTCTGCAAGACCTGTCAATTTTACTAGTATGTTGCATAATAACTTCCACAATATAAAGAACTCCAATGCTGTATGTTGTCTGTAAACAACTGTCTACAGGTGAACATTGACTAGCAATCCAATTTAAAGAATTGCATTGCTTATTTAATCTTTTTTAAGGCATGATGGCAGCAATTCACTTAAAAAAATGCCGACAATTTCCTTCCATTTTTGTGGGCATATCCTGAACCAATATGTTTATGCGGTACATTGGTGGTTTTTGACTTGCACCGTCAGCGTTATGGCTTTTAGTTAGGACTTTGCAAGATTTCACCATTGTAAAAAAAATGTGGTACTGGATCTATAAGTACTGATACTGGATATATAGAATTTATAGCAGGAACATATGAATGTCTATTACAACCTTTTTAATAAGTTACTGAAGTAATCGGGTTTTAGTTTCAAGGCAGATCACTCTCAATTACCGGTTCATGTATAATGTGTATGGTGGCATGTACCCCTGGAAGAGGAACCTTTTCATTCGAAAAGGATCATTTGGAAAATCCTGTTCTCGGAATAGTTGCACAACTAACACTAGGCTATCTGACTTTCCGTTTAAAATTAACTTGCATTATTGCACACTTAACCAATGCTGTTGGAAAGTGGATCTCGCATCCGTGATTTTCAAATTAAGTCGACGCCAAATTAAACCTGACACTACATATTGTCATTACCCTACACCTTGTTCATATCTGATGGAAGATTTGATTTTTTCACTGCTGTGACCATCAAGGTCATTTAATTGAACAAACATGATAATGCGTTGTCCCAGCAAGCTCCAGGCCAAATGTTACTAATCTCGGTTGTACTTGAGATTCTTTCAGAAATGGTTCAAACTTTTTCACACTTGACTCCTGCGACAATAAATGCCAGTCTAAGGTCATTTATTATAGGATGAACTTGATAGCCTTTTCCACTAGCAAGCTACATGCAATATATGGTTATTCTAAATCTCTTAGGTATTTAGTAGTTTGATGTTAACGGCTGAGATTTTGAAAGTTTATCAAGCCGATATTAAACTAACTTGATAGCACTTCACCCAAGGAGTATACAGATCAAATAAATATCCTTTCAATAGGCCTAGCTTTGCTTAATCAAATGTTATGAACCCATTTGTTTTACACAATTCTGAAACCAGCTTTTCCAACTTACATTAATCACTTTCGTTGGTCTGTATGAAGGTGCAGAGGTTCTTGGTGTGGGAGGAAACCCAGAGAAATCCATGTGGTCTGGCAAGTGACCCTGTATTTTTTCGTGTTCGATAGGGGATTCGACCCTGCAAAAATGTTACTGCATCACCAGACCACCCATATAGAAGATGTTATGTGTAGCAGAACTCGACTGGCGACCAGGTACCTCAATTGGTAGAGCATCTGTCTAGAGATCGGGAGGTCCTGGGTTCGAACCCTGGTCTGGCTGTGTATTTTTCCTCTCCTGCTCGTATGGCGCCTAACAAAATCGACCCACAGAAGGTGGTATAGTGTCTTGTGTGTCTTTGGGGTAAATGACTTCATTAAAGGAGGGAGGAATGTAGCGGAACTGGACTGGGTCGATCTTTGGCGACCAGGTAGCTGAATTTGTGAAGCACCTGTCTAGACTTGAAACCCTGGTCTGGCTGTGCATTTTTCCTCGCCTAATACATATATATTTTATACAATTTGCCCATCTGACATTAAAAATTTATATTTTTCAAATTGCCCTGCGTCCGTGGTCGGTCCGTTTGTACATTCGTCCACTGTCCTTAAACAATTCTTGTTATCGCTATTTCTCAGGAAGTGGTGGAGGGATATTTCTCAAATTTTATAGGTAGGTTCCCCTTGGTACCTAGTTGTGCATATTTACTGATCAGATAAACAAAATGGCTGACAGGCAGCCATCTTGAATTTTGACAGTAAAGGTTTGTAATAGCTATGTCATGGTGCGTCGTCCGTCAACTTTTCCTTTAAACAACTTCTTCTGAAGAACGGACAGGCATAGAGTCATGATATTTGGCTGAAAGCTTTGTTGGCTCCTTTTGAGAACGAAAATGACCTTGACCTACTTTCAAGGTCACAGGGGTCAAATATGCCAAAAAACTCTAAACGACTTCTTCTGAAGAACTAAAAGCTATAGAATCTTCATATTTGGCTGGTGGCTTCCTGGGATAGAGCCCAACAAAGTTTATGAATGAAAATTAGTTTAATCTACTTTCAAGGTCACAGGGTCAAATATGTTAAATGCTTCAAATGACTTCTTCTGAAGAACTGAAAGGTAGCAGTGTACAGTAGCGTATGGTGGCCATGGGGGTTATTTTTGTACAATGAATAACCCCTGTAATATTACAGGTATCAAAACTTAGAGAGAAAAAATCAGCTCTAAAATTGGCATAAACATGATGAATTGGACTATGTGGGCTTCACATTTAAAAAAAAATCGAATTTGGCTTAAGACTACATTTTTGGCCATTTACCAATCTGTGTCTACACAACAAAAGCTAGCTTTTCATGTAGTCTATTTTTAGCTCACCTGGCACGAAGTGCCAAGTGAGCTTATGCCGTGGCGCGGCGTCCGTCGTCCGGCGTCAATATTTTACTTTAAACGACTTCTTCTTAATAACCGAAAGGCCTAGGGTGTCAATATTTGGCCAGAAGCAAACTTGGATGAAGGGCTACAAAGTTTGTTCAAATAAATGACCTTCACCTATTTTCAAGGTCACAGGGGTCAAATATGTCAAAAACTTTAAACATCTTCTTCTCAATAACCAAAATGCCCAGGGAGATGATATTTGGCCAGTAGCATGCTTGGGTGAAGGGCTACCAAGTTTGTTCAAATGAATGACCTTCAATTATATTCAAGGTCACAGGGGTCAATTGTATTAAAAAACCTTTAAACAACTTCTTCTGAATAACCAAAATGCTCAGGGT